CAAAAACCCAAACCATTCTGTGGTTCTGTCACAGGGCTCAGGATTGGGGTTTTCCCAAGCCTGTCCCAGCAGTCCAGCATAAGGGTGTCCCTGCACAGGACATCCCACATGTTCATCCCCCTGAGACTCACAGGATGTTGGGAGGGCCAGCGTGTGGCCACCCTGTGCCTGTGCCATGGCATTGCAGGCATGAGAGGATGCATCTGACGTCACAAGCCTTTCCTCCTCTCTCAATTAATCCCTTGTCCTATATATAGAAAAAAAAGGCACTTTAATTATCCTCCCTTCCCTGTGTCAGAGCTGTGTGTGTGCAGAGGGATTTATTAATTTGTGTGGCTGCTTCCCGGGGAGCTCAGTGGCTCTTCAAGGTGACAAATAACAAGCATTCAGGATTTCAGTTTGGGTTTTTAATTTGTTTCCCCCCTTTTTGTTGAATATAAAGGTGGGAGAAAAGGAAAAAAATAATAATAATAAAAAAACCCACACCAGAATTAAAAAGGAATCAGTGGTAAGGTGATGGTTGGCATTAAAAGTTCACTTAAGCCAGTTTCCAGTGGGAGATGGGATGGTCCCTACTTCCAAGGGGACCTGCTCCTCCAGGGTGGCCCTGTGACATCCCAGCAGAGCAGATGAGTCCTCACTGTCCCCAGGGCTCCCCTGGAGATGGTGGTTTTTCCAGACAGGGCCTGGGTGAGCAGAGCTGGTGGTCCCAGGGCTGTGGTGACACCCTGGGGCTTGTCACAGGCAGATGTCCTTCTGCTGCCCATCACTGCTCCTCCCTGCAGCCCAGCCACAGCCCTGCTTATCAGCAGGGGTCTTGTTCCCTCCCAGCACCCCAAGGCGTTGTCCCTGCTTCACCCAAGTGGTCTGGGGTCAACCCCAAGCCCCCAGGAGCCAGAAGCCACCCCAGACTCTGCCAGCCCTTGGCAGAGGGCGCAGGATGTGGGGGAATTCTGGGGCTGCATACATGAGAGCGGGAGATCCCCCAGCCCTGGCATTTCTCTCTGACTTCTCTAGCACCAGTTACTGTGGGTGCCCTTGTTAGGATTCAGAGTTGGGCAGCCCGTTGGGCTGGGCAGGCAGGTACAGGCTGGGGTGCCTCACCCTGGCAGGAGGTTCATGCCAATCCGGTGTGGTGCTGGGACCACCTGAGCTCTGTGGGATGTGGTACCCAGGGTGCAGAACCAGTGACAGGGCACTGCAGCCCCAGGGTGGAGACTAAGGGGGGCCTGTGCCTGCTCTGGTGATGCTCCCCATCCATGTTTCACAGGTCTTCCCTGACATGCCCTCACTGCCTGAAGCAGAGCAACACCTTCGACCCCTTCCTATGCATCTCCCTGCCCATCCCCCTGCGCCAGACCAGGTGAGCCCAACCTACCCCTCCCCAGTCGTGGTAAAATGAGGGGCACACCCACCACCCGGCAGGGTGTCAGCTCCAACCAGAGCCACTGACATAATTTGGGGTAAATAATTGATGTGGGAGTTGGGGGCAGCACTGGGGATGGATGACAGCAACCCACTGCAGGAGCTGTGTCCATGGGGTGTTTGCCAGCCCGGAGCTGGAGCTGCTGTGCCAGTGGGTCACAGAATCACAGAATGAACTAGGTTGGAAAAGACCCTGGAGATCATCCAGTCCAACTCATGACCCAACCCCACCTTGTCACCCAGCCCATGGCACTGATGCCACATCAGTCTCACCTTAAACACCTCCAGGGACGGGGACTCCACCCCCTCCCTGGGCAGCCCATTCCAGTGTCTGATCCCTCTCTCTGGCAAGAACTTCCCAATGTCCAACCTAAACCTGCCCTGGGGCAGCTCAAGGCTGTGCCCTCTTGTCCTGCTGCTGGTTCCTGGGAGCAGAGCCCAACCCCCCCCGGCTCCCCCTCCTGTCAGGGGGTTGCAGAGGGTGAGAAGGTCCCCCCTGAGCCTCCTCCTGTCCAGGCTGAGCCCCCCCAGCTCCCTCAGCTGCTCCTCCCAGCACTTGTGCTCCAGACCCTTCCCCAGCCTCGTTGTCCTTCTCTGTCCCTGCTCCAGCCCCTCCATGTCCTTCCTGAGCTGAGGGGCCAGAGCTGGACACAGCACTCCAGGTGAGGCCTCACCAGTGCCCAGTCCAGGGGCACAATCCCTGTCCTGCTCCTGCTGCCACCCTGTTCCTGAGCCAGGCCAGGTGCCATTGCCTTCTTGGCCACCTGGGCACACCCTGGCTGATGTTCAGCTGCTGTCAGTCAGTCCCCCCAGGTCCCTTTCTGCCTGTCCCAGTCCCCCCCACCTGTCCCCAGCCTGTGGTGCTGCAGGGGGTTGTTGTGGCCAAAGTGGTGGTCGTGAGCGGTTTCGGGTCTCAGCACAGCTGAGTGTCCCGCGGCCGAGGTGTGTCAGCGTGTCCCCGTGGTGTCCCCAGGGCTCTCAACGTCACCCTGGTGCTGCAGTGCGAGCGCTGGCGCTTCGTGCGGGTGGGACTGGCCGTGCCGCTGCTGGGCACCGTGGCTGACCTGCGGGAGATGGTGGCACGGGAGGGGTGCATCCCCCCGGAGCAGGTAACGTGTGGGGGGGGGACACACAGGGTGGGGGGACGCACCCCCTCCCCCACCCCTTGGTGATGCTGAGGGTGCTGGGTGCCATCCCACAGGTGATCCTGGCCGAGGTGTCCCCGCGGGGCTTCCTGCGCTCGCTGGGGGACAAGGAGGAGCTGGGAGCAGCCGGGGAGGGAGCTCCTCTCTACGCCTTCCAGCCGCCCCCCGCCCGCCGTGCAGGTACCGCCCCCGCGGCCTGATTGGCTGCTGCCTGCAGGCCTGCCCTGCTCTCATTGGTTGGGAGCGGCTTGTGCCGCGCTGGGATTGGAGCTGGGCTGGGCTGGGGCAGGAGCGCCCCTGGGATTGGTGGGGAGGTGGATCCCCTTTGCTGGGATTGGTGGGGAGGTGGATCCCCTTTGCTGGGATTGGTGGGGAGGTGGATCCCCTCTGACTGGATCAGTGCTCCACTGGGTTTGGGGGAGACGGGATTGGTTGGAAATCTCTGCTGGGATGGGTTGGAAACAGAGCCCTTTAGCTGTGGTTGGTGGGAGGCAGGTGTGCTCTGCTGTGATTGGCGGGAGCTGTGTGCTCTGTGCTGTGATTGGATGAGAGCCTTGTTTGCCCCCATCCCACGATTGGTTGGCTGCGGGTGTGCTCTGCTGTGATTGGTGGCAGTTTCTCCACTGCCCATGATTGGTGGGAGGCAGGCGTGCTCTGCTGTGATTGGTGGAAGGGCCAAGCCCCCCGGGTTGTGATTGGTGGGAAGCGCGAGGTGCAGGCAGCGCTGCACACCAGGGAGCACAGGCAGGGACCCAGCACGGGCATCGCATCGCACCAATTAACTAATTAACTAACTAACGAGAGCCCCTCCGTGCCCCCGCCCTGCCCAGGGTGCCCCCGCAGCCTGCCCGCGTCCCCCGGGGTGGCCCGGCCGGAGGGGCCGCGCCTGCCGCCCGCCGCCGCCCGCTCCTCCGACTGCCTGCACCGCGGGCCGGGCAGCCGCATCCTGCTGCTGCTCTGCAACACGGCGGGCGCCGGCCCCCAGCTCGCCAGGTACCGTCACCCCTCCCACGACCCCGCCCTGCCCTCCCGCCGCGGGATGGGGCGCGGGGTGTCCTCCCGGAGCCGCCTGTGCCCCTCAGCCCGGTGTCCCCCCCTTGCCTGTCCCCAGGTTCGGGCCGCCCCTGGTGCTGCGGGAGGAGCGGGGCATCTCCTGGGAGCAGCTCCAGCAGAGCATCCTGGCCCAGCTGCGGGCGCTGCTGCGGGGAGAGGTGCGGGCACAGGTGAGCTGCGGTGTGGAGGGATACTCCTGTGCCCTCCTGGGGCTGCTGGCACCGGCTACAGTGGTGACCGCAGGCAGGTCATCCCCCAGCCCCACATCCCTGGCCCCAAGGATGTCCCCTGCCGACCCAGCCCTGGGGACCAAAGCAGTTCAGTTTTTGGAGCGTTTTTGTGTCCCATGTCACAGAGCCTGGCTCCCACAGGTGCTGCTGTAGGGCCAGGGTGGCTCTGTCCCCCCCACATCTCAACAGCCCCCTCTCCCCTCGCAGGGAACAGGAGCCCTTTTCCGCATTCGCCTGGCTGGGGGCTCGGCCCCCTGCATCTACCTGTCCCCGCAGGACCCCCGTCCTCTCTGCCACCCTGCCATCGACAGGTAAGGGCACTGCAGCGACGGGATTGTCCCCAGGATGTCCCCTCACCCCCTGGGGGTGGCCAGTGGTGGCACCATGGATGGGTGCAGTGTTCCTGTGGTGGCTGTGCTGTCCATGGGCCATGGGCGGCCAAAGGTGTCCCTTGTGGCTTTCCAGTGTCACTATAGATGGCCACAGTGGCGGTCACCCTGCTCCCCCAGCACTGCGTCCCCAGCCCAGTGTCCCCACTGTGGGTGGTGCACAGGGAGGTGGTGGCTGTCCCTGCCTGCCACCACAAGCGGCCAAGGAGGTGGCCCCACAGGGACGGGGGATTCTGGGGGACATCTCGCCTCGTCCTCCCCCTCAGAGCCCTGCAGCTGAGCGGGACAGGCGGCCCCCCCCATGTGAAGCTGACGGTGGAGTGGGACGTGAGCACCAAAGAGCGGTGAGTCCCTTGCCCCCAGGGCGGGAGGGGCCAGCCCAGCACTCAGGCCACCCTCCCTGACCGGAATCATGTCCTGCCCCCCCCCCTCCAGCCTTTTTGGCAACATCCAGGAGGAGGTGGTGCAGGACGCGGAGAGCGTGCGGCTGCAGCAGCAGGCACACCGGCAGCAGCACAGCTGCACGCTGGACGAGTGCTTCCAGCTCTACACCAAGGAGGAGCAGGTACGGGGCACCCCACACCCGCGTGGGCGCCTGCTCCCTGCCCACACCCGGCAGAGCCACCACCGGGACGAGGCCCCACCCGTGGCGCGGCGGCTGCGGGGGTGTGAGATGCTGGTGGGGGTGACAGGGGGGTGCTGAGGATGGCGCCGTGGTGTCCCCAGCTGGCCCCGGACGATGCCTGGCGCTGCCCGCACTGCAAGGTGCCCCAGCAGGGCACGGTGAAGCTGAGCCTCTGGACGCTGCCCGACATCCTCATCATCCACCTCAAGCGCTTCCGCCAGGTGGCCGAGCACCGGCACAAACTCACCACGCTGGTGAGGTTCCCCCTGCGGGGGCTCGACATGGCCCCCCACGTGGCGCAGCGGGGCCAGCCCGGGGGGCAGCTGTTGGGGCGCTGGGCGCCCTGGCAGCCCCCCCTCCGCCTGCCCCCGGGCTGCCCCCGAGACTACCTCTACGACCTGTACGCTGTCTGCAACCACCACGGCAGCATGCAGGGGGGGCACTACACCGGTGAGTGGGGGGCACGGCGTGGGCGTGGGGGTGGGAGGGCAAACTGCTGGGCAAAGTGTGGGGTTTGGGGGCACCTCGAAGAGCGTGCTGTGGGGCACGGTGTGGGGTTTAGGGGCACGGCTGGGGGTGCCGCGGGGAATGGCAGGGGGCTGGGGGTGCCCTGCAGGATTGTGGTGTGGGGCATGGGGCTGGGCTATGGGGGCTGTGCCGTGGGGTACAGCATGAGGGTGGGGGCACTGGAGAAGGGTGTGCCTTGGAGCGTGGCAAAAACATTGTGGAGGGCACTGCACGGGGTTTAGGGGACATCACAGGGGGACCGTGGCATGGAGTTTGGGGGGCCATGGGGCAAGGTAAAGGGGAGCTGGGGTGCAGGGGACATACAGGATGGCATTGCAGCCACCCCAGGGCAGACACCCCAGCAGCGTCCTGCTCCCCCACTGTGTCTCTGTTCCTGCTCCCCACTGCACCCTGGAGCTGCGGCGGGGGAGGTTGTCTGCCCCAGGGCAGAGCCTGCACCCCTCCCTCACCCCGTGCCCCCCTCACCCCCAGCCTACTGCTGCAACGCCCTGGACGGGCGGTGGTACAGCTATGACGACAGCCGCGTGGAGGGGGTGCGGGAGGCGGAGGTGAGCACCCGCAGCGCCTACATCCTCTTCTACCAGCGCCGCCACGCCGTGTCCGCCGGCGGCTCCGTCAGGGGTGAGCACCCACCCACCTCCCTGAGCCTCTGTGCCCCGGCACCGCCCCCGGGACGGGGCACAGCCGTGTGTGCACAGCCAAGCCTGCCCATGTACATGCATGTCATGCACACCGGCAGGCAGTGTTGAGCACACACGGCACAGCCACGTGCACACCCTTGCACACGTGTGCACAAACAGGCATGGACAGTACAGCTGAGTGCTCACAGGTTTACATGCGTGTGCGTGGACACACGGTCACACACAGTGCTGCCATGTGCAGAGTCACTGGGGCACACACACGTGTGCTTGGAACTGTGGCCACACAGCACCCTGCACAGCACACTCACCACACATATGTGCACGCGCCTACCTGTGTGCACAGCCCTACATGTGTGTGCACGTACCCCTGCATGTGTACACACCCCTACGTGTGACCTACATGTGTGTGCACACAGACCTACCTGCAACACCCGGTCGTGTGTGCATACACCCCTACACATGTGCACACACACGTGTGCACACACCTACATGCCTGTGCACACAACCCCCCCACACGTGCACACACCTACACACGTGTGCACATCCGTACATCTGCACATATGTGCACATACACCTACATGCCCACGCAACGCCCCCAGGCCGATCCCCCGCCCCGCTCCCCACGCTGGGTTCCCCCAGGTTCCTCATTGTGGCCCGGCGGGACCCCCCGGTACGGCCCCCGGCCCAGCGCCCCCCCCCCCCACTCCCCGCAGGCTCCGCCGCCCCCCCGGGGCACTGGCTGTTCCGCCTGGCCGGCACCGACCCCGGCACGGATCCCGGCACCGCCCCCGACCCCTCTTGCTCCTCCGGCGCCCAGGAGAACGGTGAGACTCAGCCCCGCAAGCCCCTCCGCCTCCCGGACCTCCCGAGCCCTCCTGA